TGGACCGCTGCTATAATGAAGAGCAGGTGGAGGCAGGTGTGGGAGAGGAAGACGCTGATGTTTACAGATAAGGGGATTGTTATAGAGGAGGTCCCATGTGCTCTACTCTGATGTAGCACTGACACAGCAGCTCTGTGAGTGACTGAAACCATGTGCCAAAACATGAATAATAATATGAACCTGAGAGAAGATCTAAAGAAAGAGAAATAGAGAACTCACGGCGAAGATTCATGCCATGGGAAAGTTTCTGTATTTCATTTTGTGTGTTTTTTTTTTTTTTTTTTTTTTTTAAATACAGACATGACTTTAATATAATTCTTCAATAATGAAAAAGTTATTTAGTAATATATATATATATATATATATATATATAATAATATATATATTCACATTTTCAAATGTCAGTAAGCTTAAAAAAAATCTAATTATTCCTTCTATAAAAATACTATTTTTTTTAACAGAGTAACCCTGAGAAATCTTTCTAAAATTCATGGCTAAAGAAATCATAATATCTGTAAAAAATGATAAAAATGTAAGATTATCATAAAATTTTCACCTTAGAGGCATTATTCTCCAAAAAGCTATGGAAATGCAGAAAAATATCAGCTGAGATGGCAAGAAATAGCAATGAGACATAGTTTGCAGAACTTAACTGGCAGTTGGCCACACGCAGGACGTGGACTAACCACAAAATCACCACACCTACTGTATAAACTAATTTCTAGACTAGTTGAGCAGTTTACATTGTATAGCCCCAAGATGTTAACTTTCAGCTGGCTGAAGGCACATATACAATATTTGTTATTTTGTACAGGGCTTCTGCACCACATATGACCTGAATCAGTTCAGAAAGCTGGATGAGTCAAGAGGGCGTGTGAATGAACAGTGTCTGAATATTAATGCTCAGCCCTGGACTGAGATCCATGTGTACGTGTGCGTTTTAAAGCAAGACATACTCTTGCCCTTCACATTTTACAGCTGCTGTTTGTAAATACTCCCATTCTTCCATTGTTTGGACAAACAGACCAAACTCAAAAACTATCACTCAAAAAGCTCATCACCAGCATCCAAATATTTTGATTCTGTATAATTGACACATCCAGGGCCAGCGACCAGACTTAAACAGTAAAACTCCTACTCACCTGTTCTCTTACAGCAGCTGCGAGCCACAAGCTCTAAGACTTCTCAATCAATACTCAGCTGCTGATCCATGCGACAGCATAAACTTTCAACTTACCACATCGGCACCTCATAACAGACATTAATCCCACGGCCCGGAAATCAATACACCATCATTTCTCTTTTGTGTATTCAGCACCCTAAACAATCTGGCAATAACAAACACAAGCAAGCACGGGCTGTATTAATGTCCCCATCCGTTAAAACCGTCTAATGACGCTTTGTCTCATAAATGACTCTGTCTGGGAGCGTAAGCGACGTTAAATATACATTACTCTGAGCCTGGGAAGTGTGCGGTCAGGGGCACGCCGACTCCAGCACAAATTTGGTGTGGCTACACAAACAACCGTCTATGAATAAATAAATGGAGATCGACGCCTGTCCGGACAAAAAGGAAGAGGCTGCCTCATGCCTCGGGCTAATCTACACCAGCCTAGCGGCCAAAAACAAATAAAAAGAAGATGACAAGGCGAGGGAGTTCAACTTTTCCTCATCAGATCAAGTCATGAAATGGAAATGCAATATGGATTTTTAAAGCACAACGTGTGCGCGCCAGAGTCGACATTTAGGTAATGGGGCGATTTCAAAGCTTGTCAAAGTCCGTAAAGTGCACTTGTTTTGGAGCGGCTGAATAACTGATCGAGGTTTAAGAGGTTTTCAGCACCACGGACAGCACCGCCGACAGATTTAGCGTGAAGAGAAAAAGAGAGCATCCATCTCTCCTTCTATTTGAGCATGCTTGTTTATTTTAATGAGCATGTATGTGAAGTGGTATGGGGGATGTACTGTATACTGGAACACATGGTCCGGATCCTCAGCGGAGAAACCATACCTTGCCATCAATCATGGGGAGAAGGCTCAGGAAGGAAAGAGGAAGACAGAAGCGGGGAGAGAGATAAACAGAGAGACATGGGGGTGGAGGCGCTTACAGGTTTGCTGCCAGTTTCTTGATTAATCTGGACAATATTCTGTCTTATGAGTCATTTCATTCCCTAACATAGCCTAGCTCTCCTCTCCTCTTGCACAATAAAGAGGTCTCGGCAAAGGCTATTGACCACTTTCTAAAGATCTGCCAGCCTGGAAGACAAATGAAGTGTGGCCTCACATTCAGCCATTTTAATATAATAATGATATCCGGGTCTGTGTCCCCGGCCGCCATACCTCAGCCCCGTAATGTGGGATTTGATGAAGAAGGAGAGCCGAGGAATTACATTCGATTAGCACTAAACAAGAGAATGAGACGTGGAGCGATTAAATCAATCAAGTGCGGGATCAGGACAGTCACAGAGGGAGTGTGTGTATGTGCCGTGTGTGTGTGAGAGATAATATGCCCTTAACACCTCAAATCTCTAAACAGCCATTCCCTCTCCTAGACAGTCTATTCTGTGTGAGTGAGAACTTTTTAGAAGGGCCAACGAGGTGCAAAGCATTCTGGGTAAGAGGCGATAATACGTCCTCTCAGCAGATCTCTGCCTTTATGCAGAGCGAGAAGAGCAGAGCTGTGCAATACCACCGAGACATGCCTAGAAGAATGAGGCGCTATCTGAGGGAAAAGTGTTTTAGAGGGAAGGAGTGCCGAGATTCCTCATAGGCTTCTTTTCTCATTACCTCCTCTCCTCCCCTGTCTTATTACTGAGACTTTTCTCAATAAAGAAGATCTAGACTGGATAAAAAGGCAGCCACACTTGCAGTCTCGGTACGCTTCCCTCTTCTTTCGCTCCCTCTCAGTGATCACATTCCCTGAAAATGGAGTTTTGTGTCATCGTTTGAGGCTTGGCCGTGCTCGGATTGGGTTATACAGTATGCATACTTAGCGACCATGCAACCTTTGTCGATCTGCTCATCTGGTTTAGACTATTCTGGCTGATACAGAAAGAAATTCGCCTGACTCAAATATAAAGCAATCAGCTTGAGTTTGTTTCTGCTCAAAAGTATGAGGTCGATCAGATTTTCAAAAATATTTCTAATGGTTTTTAACGTGAATGTTACCATTTAAAATACGTTTTATTACATATTAAAATGTATTTTTCCTGTGATGTCAAAGCTAAATTTTCAGCAGCCATTACTCCAGTCTTCAGTGTCAATGCCGATTGGGTGCTCAAACATACCAATTATTCTCAATGTTTAAACATCCAACAAACAACCATTTTTGTGGAACTAAATTTTTTTGAATTTATTACAGTATTTCTTTTAAATACAAATCTTTCGTAAGATTATAAATGTCTTTACTGCCACTTAATGTGTCCTTGCTGAATAAAAGTATAAAAATCAGTAATAAAAAGTACTTTTGAATGGTAGTGCAACTTGGAAAAAGCAGGATATACAGTGGACATACAGTTTTGCACATAGTTATAATATTTTCCCACTGGTTACTCCGGTAATATAGCGCTTTTACCTTGAAATCAAATGTTCAGCCATCGTCTTGTCAGTCAGCTGGCCTCACTCTCGTCATGGGATCTGTGCTGCGACTCTCGTTCGGCTCACGTTGAGCAATTTCAGTGTTTCAATTCTAGAGACTGTTCTAAACTAAATTTGAACTAAATGATTTTTATTACATTTACATTTATTCATTTAGCTGACGCTTTTATCCAAAGCGACTTACAATTGCTGTATATGTCAGAGGTCGCACGCCTCTAGAGCAACTAGGGGTTAAGTGTCTTGCTCAGGGACACATTGGTTTCTCACAGTGGATTCGAACCTAGGTCTCTCACACCAAAGGCATGTGTCTTATCCACTCTTATTACTAGAAAAAATCTAAACGATGGTGGGGGCAGAGCCATGATGGACATGTGATGTAACCGGTGTGCAGCTGAACACAGTGTAACACTGACTATGGCAGCAAACCTACGTACTTACTAAGGCGGCTCAAACAAAACTTTGAATATCTTTCAATATTTTGACGAGAAACCTTGCAAAACTGATTCGATTTTTGCACAGTTTGTATGAGAAATCAGCAAACAGACACTGTGCGGCCCGTCTGAAGCTCAGCTTCAGCGGGGACATAGTGAGGCTGCCACCAAGCTCCAACGACTGACACCATATGTGTAAGACAAAGTCATGCTGGAACAACTTGCTCTATCCTGGATGCAGTGAAGTGAAGCAGAACAAGATTCAGCTTAGAGGAAACTGAGAGAACATGGGACAGACTGAGAATAACATTTCTTAGAAGAAGGAAATGTTGCTACAAAAGCTTTCACTTTCCTCTTTTCAAAGTCTGTAATAAGTAAGATGCCAAAGCACTAATGTTCTTCCAATTAGGAGCATTTTGTGTCACAGTAAACACAGAAGATAGAGTTTTTTAATCTATAACATTAATTAGTGTCTGCTATGGCAAGCAACACTTTTGTCATAATGTGCCATCAAAATGACACAGCAATTAAAAATATTGAATAAAAAAAAATCAATTAATTATTGTTACTGGATTTTGAACATGTGTGAAATGTTTTTAAAAAGTCAAGCAATTATTGTGTTTCATGATCGATGGTGGCTGTCACTTGTGAGTCCATCCTTAGTTTATGTTCTAAAAGCCTGATATTTATCTTTTGTGCTCTTTTAAAGGTTTCATCTGCATGCGATCCCTCTCTGGACCTCTCTCAGAGTTGGGCTGTAGTTTCGAGGTCAGCTTTGATCAGTCATGGAGCTCAGGCTCCAGCGGGCTGAGGGGTTAACGTTTAATCTCCCTGCCTCTCTCTATTACAGCTGAATTACACTACCCTCGAAGGTGTGCTGCTCATTACTAAATGGTAAGGGTGAAAAGAGGGGAAAAATATGATGGCTTCAAATATAACAATAGGTAACTGAGTTCCCAACAGGTTTCTTACCTGTAAAAGCCAGTAGCACCTGCGGTGGAAGGTGGGGATGATGGAGGAGTGGACGTAACAGCCGTACAGACACTGGGGAAAAAAACACAGACAGAAACGTGGTTAGTAAAGAACCCTGTTCGGTATGACTTTATCTGAATAACAAGAGTATGGTAGGGGTTATGGGGGTCCGCCATAGAAAATGACTTTTTATAACAGAAAATTCAACAGATTTACTCTAGAAGACACCTGATATTTAATTTAATGAATGATTCATTCAAATTAGGGCTGGGCAATGATTAATAGCGATTAATCACATCCAAAATAAAATATATATATATGCATGTTTATCCGCCGTTTATATGTACAAAATAATTATACACACTACACACATATATTATATAAACACAAACTTTTATTTTGGATGCGACTAATTGCGATGCATGACACACAGCTCTAATTAGTCCCATCACCTAAAGACTACAGCCCCATTGACTCTCTGTGCCAATGCATTGATGATGCCAAAACTGAAGACATTGCATTTGGAAACAAAGATGAAGTTCTCAAGGTGAACGCATACCATCACTCTAGGGGTCAAACAACTAAAAATCAAGTCAGGAATCTTGGTGTGTCTCTAGAGTCAGACCTTAGATTCAGTAGTCATGTCAAAGCAATAACTACATATTATCATCTGAAAAATATTGCAATAATTAGATGATTTATCACACCAGTCCTCAGGTCTTTACACTAGGTCCAAGTTACATTTAAGATTGAGTTTTAAGTATTTTTACTGGTATATAAATAATTAAATGGGTTAGGACCTCAATTATTCTTTTTTTTTTTTAAATTAAAATGTATCAATATTGTTGTCTTGGTAAGCAAAAGAGACTTCTTTCAGGAATCTTATCAATAAAAAAAAATAAAAATGTGTTTTTAATGATAATGATTAATTATTCGCTCTGGTAAAAAGCCATGATAAAAATTGTAACAGTGATGTAGAGTTTTTCCACATTTCGCTGTTACAATATTGACTACTTAGCTAAACTACCACACTGCTGCAAAATGTTAGCTTTCAGTTATTTCCTCTCCCACACTGCTGACCCATTAGTGACCCATATAGGCTGAGGAGCGACTCTCGCCCATGTGGCCAGGGAACGGACAGGACACTCTGCCAGGGCTGAAATGAGTCATGTGATTTTGAGAAGACATCTGTGATGCTGAGTGCCGGCTTTCTTCCCAAACATATTGTTTGCAAGCACTCAAGCCAAAGAGCTTGGCTCTTTCTGGAATAAATCAAATATCCATTTCTATGGTTACGGCTCCTCTACAACGCACACAGGGAATATTTATTTACCTGCGGAGAATTGGAAAACAAAGCAGTCTTGGTGCATTCACACACACACTCTTGCATGGATATATGCACACATGTACACACATATCTGCAGGCACACACACACACACACACACACACACACTGCACTGTGAAATAATGGATTCTTTGAAAGATCTAAGAGAGGTTAAGGGCACCGTTATACTGCAATGACAAGCTAATGTGGCATACAATTAGGATTGTGTGTCCAGTGTTGGATCACAAAGTGTGCAAATCAAAACTATAGTTCAATTGAAGTTAGGTATTTCTAAGGCATTCTTCACAATGCCGTTTCAAAAGAGCTCTACAAAAGATCAGTCTTGGCAATTCCTAACATTGTATAGATGGGAGGAGGATCAATCCTAGAGAGAAATCTTGTTAGTCTTGGCAGGAGGAACTCACTCTCCTCTCGTCAGTAAGATTGTTTCTACAAAACCATATATTTTTTTACGTACTACATTTGATTTTGGGTAAGCAAAATTTTCTGGTATGGGATTCCTGCATACTAATGTTCTAAAGAGATAATATAAATAATAATATACTGCACACCACGGGCCCATACTGACCACTAATATGAATGTATTTTACCCAGTTTATACTGTTCACAGTGTGAATCATTTCACACAAATAAATTTAAATTAGAAAACAGATATTTTAAATTTTAATAATATTTCACAATATTACTGTTTTTGATCAAATAAATGCAGCCTTGATGAGCACAAGAGACTTATTTCAAAAACATAAAAAAAATCTCTCCAACTCCAAACTTTGATGTATATATTGATTTAGCATTAACAGCCATTTTTATTTTTGTGCTGATAAACATGCAACGTAGTGAGGCCATTTGACAAATATCTAGCAGGTACTGTACATATACAGTGTAGTATTCATTTAGTAAGACAGTAAGAGCATTAAGAACATAAAGTCTTTCTCTATCTCTCTCTTTCTTTCTATCACCAGCAGAACAAACAAATGAGTGTGTCTTTGTGCTGACACAAATTCCCTGACCGTGTCAATGCACTCAGATACTCATGAGCAAACAAACACTATACTATACTCAGCAGAGCATTGAGATCCCGAGTCTCTCACAAAGAGAGAAAGAGTGAGAAAGGGCTAGACAGACAGAGGAGATCTCTGCAAAGCTTTCTACCAGGGGTGTTTTCTCCTTAGTCAAGGGAAGCAGTGCCTCTTTATTTCACGAGTCCGTCAAAACGCCACTGCTTTTATAAGTTCAGCTTCCATCCAGATCTGGATCTAAACATATGAGAACACATTTCACATCTCCATCTGAGAGATAATGTCTATATGTTGTTGTCTGCTATATGTACCAGGTTGTGTCTGCTCTGTCGTATTGACAGGTGTGTGCGGTTCCTTACTGTTCATCCCACTGTGCGGACTGGAGAGTGAATAAATTATCCCCAGGCAGCTTCTGTTTACTCAATTTAAGAAATACAAAAAGTGTTCAGCAAGCATAAACAAGATGCCTGGGCCGTGTCAGACTGTAGCACCTGTCAGAGCTGATACGGGAATCAATGTAAACTGTCCATCGGCTACACGCACGCTGTTTGCACGCTATCAGGGCTTACACACACATACAGCTACAAACCGTATCAAGGCTGCCTGTTGCCTAAATAGGCAGCTCTGACAGTCACTGAACCTCAAATGTGATTGGTTTGTAGTGATTTAGATCGGCAGTAACTTTTCAAGAGCAACTTGACAAACAATAGATTTTGCTGTTAGCATTTTGCTGTGATATCGTATAACATCGTATTATATTTTTGTTTAATTTTTTTATTACTGTTCTACGCTCTGTGTGGACAGAGTGAATAAATTAGCCCCAGGAAGCCTCTGCTTATTAGGTTTACTGGGATTCTATCATTAGTTTTATGAAGAGAGAAATTGTAAAATATATTGACTCCGCAAACAATCCCAGGCACAAAAAGGCTGACCATCTCACATTCTCTCAGAACATTTGATGATATAATACACACAAAAAAGCAAACGAGAAAAACGCAAAACTCCAACACAGACAAGCTTATCAGTAAATCAGGACAAATATTATTCATCTCTTTGCTGATTCTCTCTCAAGGCTGCATGGCAATGTGACAAACTGACAATGACAGAAGCCATTATTTGCTGTCTGTGGGCTGTGACAAATGACAGCACATCAAATGGCAAGCAATTAAGGCATAATTATATTCCCACAATCACGCAGGACTTCTCTCCATTTCTCAGTCTGACTGGCTCATCAGTTGAAGCAACAGCAAGACTACAAATTACGAACTGTTCTCAATGTATATATAAAACAGACTAACTTGAAGAGATGAGATTTTGTTGTGAAATGGGCCATTTGAGATATAGTGGAGTCAGTCCATCAGTGGTTCAAAAACCCCAAAAAGTGGTATTTCAAAGCCAACAGCCCAACAGTTATATTTTTTTATTCATATAAACTTTTCATACTTTCAAACTTTTCACATTACATAGGAGGTTTAACACGAAGCCATCAATCAAGGCAGGTGGGATGACAATGAATGCAAGGTGTCCAACCTGCCGAAGATGTGAGACTCTCTCATTAGGCCATAATGAAGTGTGAAGGCACTCTTAATTAGACCATGCCATCTAAAGTATGGTGCCAATTTGCTGTTTTATGATGTGACAATATGTGCGGTTGGTATTGGATGAACTTCAGTCAGGGTAGATGCCACGCTTAATGTGATGCGAATGAAAATGAGGCTTTGAGGAACAGACACACTGTACATTACAATGCATTGTACAGTATTTAATATTGAAAAATAGGCAAGACAATACAGATGAACAGCATAAAAATAACTAATAGAAATCACCATACTTTTGCCAGATGATTTATTGCAGTAGATTAAGACAATAGTTTTGTATTGCAAGATTTAAGAAAGGTTAGGTTTAAATATGCGAATTACGTATTATCTGATGAAATATGCACCAATTTGAAATCATTTTCAGAAGAGAAATGTAAACATTGTATAAAGTCTGGCTTAAAATTGTCTCATTTTGTTGACATATTAAAGGTTTACGAGGGGATATTTGATATTTCTTTCTTTCTTTTTAAATGATAATAAATAATAAAAGTAAAATACTGTCAACAGCCAGAAAAAAAGAAATCCCCCTTTAGGAATAAAATGCCATATAAATCAGGGGAATGATACTATAGAAACAAACCCCTCTGGAAACTCATTCAGAATATAGATATAGAAATAAAACTGGATAAAACTAAAAGTGCTACTGAAATGGAGATTTCTGGTTCAGTGCATGAGAAAAACAAATGGTTTTTGCCTGTCTTGCCTTATTAAACAGACTCATATTCTATACATCACAGCCTCATTTTCATTTGCATCAAATTAAATATTGTGCCAAGCCTGATTGAGGCCCTTAAGCCCCTGAAGGAAACCAGACACCACAGTGTTTCTCTGGTCTCGTATCGCAGCTAAAACGAACCCCGCGCTAACCTTGATAGAGTTTTGTCTTATAACACTCGCTACACAAGGAATAATTTATCAGACAGTGAATCCAGTTGGGAATACTCAATCATACAATTTGAAAGCGCATTGGCGACAACTTGATGAATTGCCTCGTAGAGTGATATAGTGAGCCGAGACCTTGTAGATAATCAAGACAAATCTATTACCAATCACTTGAACATGTACATTTGTCATGCCTTACTCTTCTTTCAGCAATACTGAACAGATCT